CCCCCAAAGGGAGTATTGTACCTGACATTGTGGGGGCTTTGCCGAGGTCGGTGCCTGGTTTAAACGCGTGCGCTCGTGTGGAGCGAGCATTGCGCCGATTATTGCTTCGATTACTTCACCTCTTACGCTGACGAGTGGGACGTGTGTCGTGTGATTGTGATCTGTCCTCGTGATCACCTCCTCCTCCTCAAAAGGTGTCTGCACGGAGTCCTGCTGTTAAGACTCACAAGCGCAAACACAGCGATCACCGAGCGCGTTCCATGACTCGCAAAGCGCCTGCTCGCAAACGTCCAGAAAGAAGAAAACATAACGCATGCTTGCTTAGACGTAGTGGATCGTACATCCCGCGCGGCGGATCCAGGCCAGTTGTGAGAAGTGGCTTTGCGAGTCGTAACGCGCACATCTGGTCGAAGCAAGACGAACCGACGACAGCGTCAGGGCACTTGCCTGCAATCAGACCGCTGATCTGAGAATGATGGCCCGGTGGTGCTCGCTCCGAGAGACAGGACAGCTTCAGGGCTGCGAGAGAAAGAGGACAACTTGCTGGATGTCTCTTCGCTCGTTTGATGCTCCGAGAGGGCTGCTCGTCGCCACGGCTGCACCCTCCGTGAGCCTCGGGCCACACTGCGCCCCCAGACCAGTGTGGGGGGGCGGCCTTGGACACCCGAGCCCTGACATCGCGGCGACCTCAAGGAGGCCCCACGCGGCGGGCCGAGACGACGACGACGACGACGACGACGACGACGACGACGACGACGACGACGACGACGACGACGACGACGACGACGACGACGACGACGGCGACGACGGCGACGACGGCGACGACGGCGACGACGACGACGATGACGACGACGAGGGGCGGCCGATTATTCATGATGTTCGGCCTTCTGGGAGGGGCCGTTCCTGGGCCCTGGGGCTGTCAAAGAAACGCCTCGGGGCAACCACGTGTGCCGTGCCCTCTTGGGTGCGCGCTTCGTCGCTGCACCCCTTGTGGTGTCGTACTCATCAGGGTGCACAGAGGCACCTCTCCGATGAGTTGCGCCGACCGTGTTTTTTGTGATCTTCCTGACCTCCACCTGAAGCACCTTGCCCCTTCTCCCACTCGTACATCCTCCTCCTTCACCTCCTCCTCCTCCTCCTCCTCCTCCTCAAGCTCTGCTGCACATGAAACCCTCGGGATCGCGGCGCCTTGAGCATCCTGCATCACACAGCGCGCTCGACCCCGGCGTGGCAACTTGTCAGCTCTGGGCCAGCCGTTGCTCGTGAGGGTGGCCCACCTCGGGCCCCTCGGGAAAGTTGTTCGTTCCAGAACGTTCTGGCACACTCTCAGAGCGCCTTGGAGCGCTTTGAAACGACCGCGGCGCCCGTTATATCTTCCAGAACCGCCGGATCTCAGAGGTCCTGGTTTGGGCCACAACGTTCGGCGGGTCTCCACCGCTCTGGGGAAGAAGTGGCTTCATATGTGGGGAGCGCGCGGCATTCGGCCACGTGCGTTCGGGTGCCACTCTTGGGAGGCAAATCAGGTTTGACCTGGTGTACTCTGGCTTGATCCTCTCTAGTCCGGCTTAATCCCATTTAATCCCATCTCATCCGCGGTTAAATCCGACATAGAAGTTCCCCACGGAGGCCTAATTCTCCCGAGTCCTTCCGACGAAGACCTCCCAGAAGTTGCCTCCTAAACGTGCGGGGCTCCCTGGACCTGGAGGGGCCCCTTGAGGCCTTGGCGCGTTCCAGGAAGGGCCGTGCCTTCGGCGCATCCTCGCCCCCGGCGCATCCTCGCCTTCGCGAAGGGAGACCGGCGGGAGTACAGCGGCGGCGGGTCCGTGGGCGAAAGCCGGCGGAAGGTCGCAAAAGTACATGCAGTCGGGCGCGATAGACGGGGGAGGGCGATGAATGGGGGGGCAGCGAGGGCTGCAGAAAGGGGTCCCTACAGGTGCCCTTTAGGAACCAGAAGAGCCTTTTCAGGGCCCCCAAAGTGTACATGTCCCTCCCCCCCCCATTTATCGCCCCCCCCCTCATTTTTTCGCGCCCAATACAGATGAGACAGCACATCTTTCAAATATGTCCTGCGTCGGTGTAATTTGTTTGCAGTGCGCAAGCGCTCCCGAGCCCATTCATAGCTAGTGTGTGCAAGCCATTCCTTAGGATACAACTCCTGGGAGGTTAAAATTCAGCATCGGCGGTGTAGCCGTGGTCGAACACCCGCCTCATCTGGCAGTTAGTCAAGATTCAACCGCCTTGTTCTAGACTATGGTCGGACCGAGGTATAAGATCGAGGTTCGGGGCGGGTGCCCTAATATTCTTCGTGTTTGTGGGGTGTTCTTGTGCATTCTGGGGGGGGACCTTCTAATGTTCGTCAGTTTGGCCAGCAGAGGGTCTCATGTTCTTGAAGAATGGTTTTATGTCCTAGGTCCGACTGTAGTCCGGCTCAATCGGGTTGAATTTTGGGCTCAATTTTGGTTTTAACTTTGGGCATAATCCTGGCGTGACTCAATCGCCCCGTAATCGGGCTTGACATCTTCCAGTCTTTGGTGGTTCTTGCGAAGACCTCCCAGAAGTTGCTTCTGACCGCGCGCACATGAGTGGTGGCCCACGGTGAGTCCGCGGGGCCAGCGGGGGCGCGCACCATCTGAGCGACGCAGAAGATCGGGATCTGTCGCGCTGGTTTCTGCTGCGCGTAAGCTGCCGCGTAAGGTCGCGCGCAGGCGCCCTCGTTTCCATTGTGGCGTGCCGCGCTGGCGGCCCGCGTAGTCAGGCCACCGCGTGAGGTCGACGTGCCATCTTGCGTAAGTCGGCGGCGAGCCCAGGAGGGGAGTCGGAGGGGCGGGCCTGCACTCGGAAAGGTCTCGAGCCTTCTGAAAAGTTCTCTACGCTTCCACCGAAGACGGAGACGGCTCTTCGGAGGGCTTCCGAGAAGCCCCGCCGCCGTCTGAGAAGGCCTGCCCCCTCTCATCCCCCCTTCCCCCCTTCCCCCCTTCCCCGCCTCCCCCCTCCCCCCTCCCCACTCCACAATTACTCAATACGAATACTACTCTCCCTCTTCCCCTGATGACGGTTTGAAAGTGCTCGAAAAATATGAGCCCCCCCCGCGTACTGTTTTTTTTTGCACACAGGTTTCCCCGGAGTTGGGTTTTCGCTTGCATTTGTTTCCAAAATGCTGCTCTCGCTGAGGCGCCGGCCTCATTTTCGGGCCCCGCTCGTTCCGAATCGTGCTCCCGCTGCAGCGCTGGCATCATTTCGTCGGCGCCCGGGCTGCGCGCCCGAGCCGGCGCCCGGGCCGGCGCTCGGGCCGGGTCCGGAGCCGGTTCCGGCCGCAGCCGGAAAATCGAGTTCCGAGGCGGCGCCGAAAAAAAACCATTCTAATACACATTTCTTTTGAAAATGCTGAATTTTTGCTTCCGGCGCCCGGGAGGCCTGCAGGGCCGATTCCGACGCCCGGGCCGGCGCCCGAGCCGGCGCCCGGGCTGGACGCCCGAGTCGGCGCCCGGGCTGGCGCCCGGGCCGGGTCTGGAGCCGGTTCCGGCCGGCGCCGGAAAATCGAGTTCCGAGGCGGCGCCGAAAAAAGGCCATTCATACATTTTTCTTTTGAAAATGCTGAATTTCTGCTTCTGGCGCCCGGGAAGCCTCCCGGGCCGATTCCGGCGTGCTTCGCTCGCTCCGAATCGCGTTCCCGCTGCAGCGCTGGCCTCATTTCCGCGCTTCCGCTCGTTTCGACTCCTGCTCCCGCTGCAGCGCTGGCGTCATTTCCCGTGCCATGCCACGGCATGCAATGCAATGCTAGGTTGATACTACGCTTCGCGGTGCTCTTCTACGCCATGCCATGCCGTGCTCTACAATGCATCGCGTACCCTTGCGGGATCATTGCACCTTGCTCGACATCCGACTGTGCGAGTAGAAAGGGAATCTGCGTCATGGTAAGGACTGGGAGGGAAGGGCAGGATGTCAGATATGACGCGAGCGCACCTGCCCCTCCCCCCTCCCCCCTTTCCCCCCTTCCCCCCCTCCCCTTGGGCGCGCTGCCGATCTTCGAACGCATCGCCCGTGGCAGTAGTTGAACCTCCCCGCGGGGCGCAGAGCACACGGGGCGTGTTGGAGCTTTTCCGACCCTGCGGGGGGCATCACGCAGTAGCGCCGCCCTGGGCTCCAAGAGCGAGGCCCCCTGTGAGCTTCCTGCGGGGCACGAGGGCACGGATCGCCCGAGGGGTGGGCCATTCTGCGCGAGCGCGGGGGCGGCGGCAGCGTGTCTTTGTTTCTGTTGCGTTGGGGTTTTTTGGAGCGAGTGGGGGCAATCACGCTGGTAGCAGGGGACCGTGTGCGAACGCGCTGCTCAGATGCCTTCATACGGCGCTCTGCGCGATGACGCAAAGCTCGCACGTACTGAGGAAGAGGATGGATGGAGAGCGAAAACAGCAAGAGGCAGGGCGGGAGAGGGAGCAGCCGCGGGAGGGGAGCGGGGGGGGAGCACGGCCCTGCAGGAAGCGAGGCCGGGTGTGGAGGATGGGCATGGCTTCGTTGCGCCTTTCGCTCAGGCGGAATGCCGGGGGCCTTTCATGATTTCTGGGACCTGCCACGCGCACGCGCCCGCAGGCTGTTGACACGGCCAAGGACACGACGGCCGGCACGGCGGCCATTGTCGAGCCCGGGCCGATTGGGTCAAGATCGAGCTGTGTGCTGCTTCGGTTCAGACACGTCGGCCCGGGCTAGGCGTTCGGGCCTGCCCGCATGGAGGAAGAGCAGGCGGGGGAGGAGGGAGAAGGGCGGGGGTTAGAGATTGAGGAGAGAAGAGGCGGAGGAGGGAATGGACGAGGAGGAGGAGGAGGAGGAGGAGAGAAGGGAAAGGGGAGGGTGAAGGAAGAAACAAGATGAGGAGGAGCAGGAGGAAAAAGGAGGAAGGGAGAAGGGGGAGGAAGAGCGGAGAAGCCAACCGAATTCTGAGCAGGCCGAAGTGCTCTGAGGGAAGTGCTCTGGTTTGTGCTCGCGCCAGAGTTCGGCGTTCACCTCTATGCCAATGCCGATCCGCCCCATTTCTCCCCAAGACGCCTCTTCGCAGCCCGAAAGGTGCTCAGCGGCACCGCAATGGGTACTCACCGACGGGTACTTCGGAAACCCGCCGAAAGTTGAACCCTCAGGGCCTCTTTCCGGCATTGTAGCACTGCCCGCATCGGGAAGTGTTGGATTCGCTGGGTCGCTGGCCAAAGTGCCCGTTGGTGGAGTACACGTCAGGGGAGCGTTGAGGTGCGCAGTGTTTGCGCCCTCAGATCGATGTTCGCCCCGGCTTCGCCCCGAGCGGCTTCGATGTGCTGTTCTGTTCGGCACCGGGCGGCGCTCGGTGATGGGCGGGTGCGGTCGGGAGGCAGGCCCTGCCGCGAGAAAAACAGGCCAAACCTCCCCCGCGGGCCCCTCCGAGGAGAGTCCTTCGCCGTGAAGCAGACCGGTCTTGAGGAACGAGGAGGATCGAGGAGGATCGAGGATCGAGGAGGATTGAGGAGGTTCGATGGTCGAGGAGTGCCCAGGTGAAGGGTGCGTGAGGACCCAGGCCTCCGTGCGGAGGTGTCTCGCCGTGCCCGGGCTCCCAGGGCCCGTCCTCCTCCTTCCCACAGGCTCCAGGACCGTCCCCAAGGGAATCTTTCGCAATGAGGCAGGCGCGTCCTGAGGCCTCCCCCATTCAGGCCCCCTATGAACATCAGAAGCCACACCAGCATGAAGAGTTTCGGAGGGTGGGGGCGTTGGTCGAGGAGAGTGCCCTGCCAGTACAGGCTTCCGGATGTTCAAGTGTTCCTTGCGGCCGGACGTTTTTGATTATAGCGTGTCTCTCTGCCGGTTCTGGCCCACAACGCTTCTGCGCGACAGGATATCCACGTCGCGGTCCCCAGGAGTCAGCGTCCTGAGTTGTTCTGAGCCTCCCGCCCCGCGGGGCGGAGCGACACGCTATCCACTCGCAAGGCGTAGCGTGTCGCCGGGGCCGCCGCCGCGACACTGTATCCAAAAGGTCTTGATTGTATCCGGTGCCCTCACCGCACCTGGGCGGGGCCCGGGGCCTGCTTCCCCGAGGGCCCACTTCCCTCCTGCCACGCCCCGGGCAGCCCGCGGGGGCGCGAAGACAGCCGCTCCTCGCGCCTCGTGGGCCTGGCCACGGGGTCCGCCCCTCTCCAAAAGGGCTTGCGCGAGAGCGAGAGGTCAAGAGGGGAAGGTGCGCCTGGCGCTGGGGCCAACTCAGCGGCCTTGGCACACCTGGCGGCCCCGGGGTGCCGGGCTGGGCGCTGCTGGTCTGGGCGTTCCGGGCTGCGCATTGCGCCCACATTCTCGGGTGAAAAAAGAATCGCCTCGCGCAGCGCGGAACGCCAAACCAGATACGGTAATTATGCTCGCGTCGTGCCGACGCGGTGGCGCCCCCAGCAGCGCGGGCGTTCGGGGCTACACGCAGGCAGTGGCGACAGGAAATAGCCGCGGCAACGCAGCGCTGAACGATCCGCGCGGCGTCAAGAACAGAGGCCGGCGCGGCCGTTCGGCGCGACCCTGCCATAATTTGGGAGTCCCGGGCGACAGGTTGTCCGTTGTTTGGCACCGACGGGCCGAAGAGCATCGATGCTAGCTCGAATTGCTGCCCCTGACCCCCTCGGTCTGGGAGTGGTGTCGGGGCTCCAGTACGGACTTGCCGTTTGCATCCCGATGGCGGGTCCGCAGCCGTTCCAGCCCCTGCTCCTCTTTCTCCTCACATGTCCCCCCAACCTCCCTCCCTCCATCTCTTTTCTCTCTTCCTCCCTCGTGTTCCTGGCGGCTTCCCCGTGGCAGAACTTGCATCCCAGGGCGAGCCTGCAACACGTCGATATTTTCCGCACGCCCCCAACCGTTCTTTCTTTCGCCCCGCGCAGGAGAATTCCCAGGAACCGCCGACCATTTTCTCTGCCCTTCTCTTTCCTCCTCCTCCTCCTCCTCCTCCTCCTCCTCCTCCTCCTCCTCCTCCTCCTCCTCCTCCTCCTCCTCTCCCCACCGTTGCCAGTTTGGCTCTCGTTCTCTTGAGCGGGCAGCCCAACAGCCTGGGCCATCCGAATTGTCGTGATCCGGCGGACATTTCTCTCCCTTCCTTCCTTCGCCCAATCTCGCCGCTCATTTTTGCTCAGCCATGTCGCAGGAAGTGGCTGCCGTTCCCAGGCAAGTGCAGTCATCCCTCGAGGCCTCCCTGGTGGTCCACATGAACGCGCTGATTGAGAAGGTTTCAGCCAGCATTTCGGATCAGATCGGCGCCCTCAGTGTTTTCATGACCATGAAATTTGCCGAGCAGAAGAAAAACATGTCTGCGCAGAGCCAGCACATAGCCGCCATCCACCAGCAAATCAAGTCCCACCAGGACGCCATCGCTGCGCTTCAGGCTGGAACTACGGCGGCACCTCTGATGGACTCCAGCTCAGATCAGCCCGGCACTTGGGCAGGCAGGCTGACCGCTCCTCCTCAGAAGACTCGGAGGATCGACGCCGTCAACGTATCCGCAGTAATAAGTAATTCGAATCCGATATCGCACCTGCACAACAACGCGAGGCGGTAAATTGGGACCTTCCCCGGCCCCCGACCGCTGCTTGCCACCACGCGTACTGCCCATTTCTTGAGCTGGAAAGATCAAGTGCTGAGTCCAGTCGCGATAAACAATGTGACGCCGCAGTACCATAGGATCAGTCATAGTTACCGCCTCACCTTCTCCAGCGAGGCGCTGGCCAAGGAGTTCACCGACACCCCCAAGAGGGCCATCATCCAGTGGTTGGATCCGCGGGATGGCTCGCTCACCAACATCAATGCCAGGACCGACCTCCCGAAGGATGTCCGCGCCAAGCATACGGCATTCAGCAAAGTCTAGGACCCAATCCTCGCGCTCTTTCAGAGCAGCCAGAAGTAATCCGTCGAGTCCAAGCCCATCACCAATGGCTACAAGGGCACGGCCCACGGGTCCAATGTCGACGACGCGTGGCTTCTCGTGACCTGCAATGAAGTCAACCACGCCGCGGGACCATTCCTTTGGGATCGATGCGGCCAGATGGAGAGCATCATGGTGGATGTCGAGATGCGCGCGCCTTACATCTAAGAAACACCACTGTCACGTTCACCGAACGCAGATGACGATGAGGACATTCGTTGGCTTGGTGACGACGTTGCTGCCGCTGGCGCCAGGGGGCCCGGTGCTAGCATCCTGCCTTCCGCAGGGGCCACAGTGGCATCGGTCTCACAATAATCTTCTTTGAAGAGTGCCCCTTCAGCGACGGCGACCTTCTCTTCGCAAAGTTCATGCGCTACCGGGGGCGCGGTAGGAGGCGCGGCATTGGTTGGCCCAAGAGCGCCCAGTCCACTTTTTTATTTCAGAAGCGCTTCGAGCGTGCATTTGGAATGCTCGGACTTTGTTTCACTCTCAGTCTTCCTCCCCTCATCTCCCTCGCCAGAAGTTTATGTCGCCGGCCAGGCTTGCGCGCGACATGGATGTAGCATGTGAACAGGAGACTCACGGCCAGAGCGGGGATCTGGAGATTCTTGTTCGGGACTACCTGGACTTCCAGGTGTTCGGTTTCTGCGTCGAGGCCGCTGGCGCTGGCGGGGTCGCGTTCCTGGTTCGGAAAAGTTTGGTGAGCCACTTCGTTGCTGTTCTTCCGTCTGAGCTTGTTCCAAGGCGAACCCTCGCCCTCTCCTTCCTTGGGCCCTGAGCTGTATAAGCCGTCGCGTTCATTGCTGCCGCGGCGCGAGGCGGTGAACATCATCATGGGCGCCATTGGTTTCATGGGCACTGTGAATGTCGTTGTTATCTCCGGCCTCCACATCCAAACTCTCGCCATCGCGATTAGCTACATCATTCGATTATTTTCCCGGCGCGCAGAAGTTGAACAGATTGCTCACGCGCGTCGCGCCATGATCAACGATAGAGACACGCGCGCAATTCACGATCGCAGATGCACCAATATCGACATCCCTGCCGCGCTCGACTACAGGCCAAATTTGAAAGTGTTCTGGGAGGTCTCTCCGCGGCATGAACATTTCGACCGCGCGCTTCTTCTTTTTCCTGTCACTGACGGTCCCCGGGGCGCCAGGAGAAACCAGGCGGGGCATTCCTTCTTGGGTGTCGAGGTACTCCTAATCCGGCAGTTTCGTTGAAGACGCGATCTCAGCCGCGGGTCTTTCTCCTGGACCTCGCGAGCAAGTTGCCGAGATCAGAGAAATCTTCCGCCTCGCCGCCGGGCGCGTCCGCCGACTCGTCGAGATTGCCAGCGCCGTCGCCGCGCTGGCAGCGCGAGGCGTGCTCGGAGAGCGCGCTGGGGTTGCCGCGAGTTGTCCCGGTTTTTTACACCGAGACCGCGGGCTGGCTGGACCGCAGAGAGCCCCGCGAACAACTCGCCGAATTAGGGGGGGATAGGGCGGGGCGGGGGCGGGGGGGGATCATCGGGTCTGAGCCCTGCCCCGTGGCAGCCAAATTACGTGATATACTTCGGGGTCGCCGTCTTGCTGCTGCTGCCGTCGGAGTTCGGCTCATCGCGGGCGCGATGCCAAACGGCTTCGTCCACTCGGATGCGAATGAGGCCGCCGCCATGGGAAGGCATTCGATGACGAAGAGGAGGGGGCCCCCCCCGCGCGTCGCCCCCTCCGCGACTCCCCTGAACGTGAGCAGGGACGGGGGGTAGTGTGTCAACTCGACACATCGGGGCTTGTTTCGCTGATCTCTGCAGAATTTG